TATGGCTCACGTTCAAATACACACGAATACAAACCAATTTATTATCAGTTTGTTCGTGGTAATGATCTTTTTATAAGGTATGTTAAAACTTTAAAATTTTATTGTGTATTAACGTTATAATAATATTGATGAAATGTTAAAAGGCCAGGCACAGGTTGTAGTGTGGTCACTTGTAAAAATAATTTTTATAAAAACAAGAAATCTGCTGATTCTGATCAACAATAGCATTTTTCACGTTTCCAAAAAATACAAAATTAGAAAAAATCTGGATTATGCGCTGTTGCAGAAAAATTTAAAATAAATATAAAAACTGCTAGAGTATGTAGTAATCATTTCAAGAAGGATAATTTTTTAAAGAAATGCTCGAATAATGGGAACTAGGCCTAAGTTGTAATTAAATAATGGAGGTAATTGTTGTTGACTTAATGAAATTCGTTTATTATTATCACTATTTTGTATCAATTCCAAGTAAAAACTTAAAATCTCAAGATGTGTAAAAACAAACAGAATGTGAACTTACAGCAAGAAGAGATAAAAGAGTAGCAATGAAAACACAAACAGCTATCATTGAAGACTTATTAGAGGTGCATTCACATAAAAGGGAAAAAACTAATCTTGTAACTATTGATTTGTCTTATGTATCTGGTACAAGTAAAGAATTGAAGGTAGATATTTTAAAACGAAAATACGAGGACTTACAGAAATTAGAAGAAATTGAACAAGATTTTTGTACTACCAGAACGAGGATTGTAGAATTAAATAAAATAATTAAAGAAACCGAAACAGATGGGTTGATATATAATGCTGGTTTCATAGCATTTAAATATAAAAATTAATTCCCAAATTAAGAAGACATACCTATGAGGACACATTGGAGGCCAAGAGCAGACAAACGTAGTAGAGGAAGACCAACTACACGTTGGGCTGACGACATCAGGTATATCACGAAAAATTGGCAACAAAGAGCACAAAATCGCAAAGAAATGAGGAATTTAAGGGAGTCCTATGTCCAGCAGTGGACGTGATAAATGAAGGCTGGATGATGATGAACTATGAGGAACAAAATATAATTGTTCATAATTATTCTGTACCATCCTCGGTAGAACATTTATCATTTGGTGGACTTATAAATGCATCATCGGAATGGGTAGACCAAGTAATGACGATGGAAAAATATTTCCAAAATTTTCATGGTGAAACCCTAAATCGGGGTAAGAAAATTATACCTCAAACTACCGAGTATGTTTCCAGTCATTGTTCAAATACACCTTTTTGTCTCGTAAAAACATCCTGCAGACAAAGGATATTCATTTGGGTCAAGTTAATAAATGCTTTAATAGCCAGGTTACTAGTGCCAAAAGCAAAAAAGATGAAGACATTAATGATCAATCAAGGTAAAATATTTAAAACCTAATTATGTAGTGTATATTTATATCTATTGGGAATACAATAAACTATAATAGTTACGATTTTTACCAATTAAAATTTATTACCTATTATTTAAATTCTTACATTAAATTATACAAATAATTCTCATTCGGATAATCCTAGCTGACCTCAAAGGACCGGTAATTCATTTAATAGTTAATCCAGTATTGATGATAATTCAGTATATGCGATACATTTTCAGTGTAAAATGGAGAATGAAGTTCTAGATTTACGTAAATGTAGGACTTTATTCTGATTAATTTTAAGTACCAAACTACCTACATATCAACGGTTTTACATAATTAGGTATTATAATCCACTAAACATCTATATTTCATAACTATCTTTACTATTTTCCATAAATCAAAGACATAAAAACGATTAACAATGTTACGATTCAAATTTCTGTACTCTCGTGACGTAATTTCGGGCTTAATGTTCATTGGTTAGTCGGAGTACGCAACCGTTGTAAGTCTAGGAACCGTGGGTGTAAACTATTCAGTTACCGCAGCTATACATCAAATGAACTTATCAAAGCAACCGTATTTAAAATTCGAATAGCTTTATATATTTATGTATTATAATGATGATTTCTAACCTCCGTCGCGGAGATGGTACTTGAAGAAGAAAAAATATATCAGCTTTCTATATACTATATTGTTTATCTATGATAACAGCACACTCAGAAACTCAGAAAGTTTTATATTACCTACTTTTGTTACCAATTTTTTTCTACTTACTTTAATAAAATCTTGTAATGAATCGTATTCCTGTACATACTTCTCCCAGAAATTTTGAAATAGTATTTTTATATAGGCACTCGGTTTATGGAAGCAAGCATTGCGAACGAATCACGCGTAGCTAAATATATTAAAGTACTTTGCAGCTTTAATCTTGGTAAGATTGCTTCTCGCATCAATGTATCTTGTTTTTTTATGAGACACCCTACACTATTGACAGCAGCTCGTCAAATTTTTCTTCAGAGATTTCTAAGTAATTTCTATACCCTTCTTTATCCTTCAAAAACGTTTCTGATGCTTCCAAACTATTTCTTCTTAGAATCCACTGTCTCACCAAAAAAACAACGTTTCTTACGAACTTTTGTTCGTATTATTAGCAATTCTTTTCAGTTCTCCTTTTAACAAAACAGCGATACTTTGTACACATTCACGCACAACCTCATTCGACGTCATTTTTTCATTGAACCGCTTATTCACTTTTAATTGAAATATGTGAATAAAATCTTATTCAAGTTGATTCAACTTTTCGCTGCCTAAGAATTACAAGGTTGTATAATACAAAATGTAGAAACTGAGAAAAATGACTTTGAATATTTTGACCATTAGATTTGGTATACACGAAAGTATATTTGCTTTTGTTTTAAACATAAGTCTACTACAAACTTCGTGACTCTAATAAAAAACAAAAAATGCAAAAACATGCAACATAAGTCTTTGTAACATTATCTTCTGATCAACAATCTCAGTTTTACTGTTTATGTTGAGACATGTTGGAAAACATGTGAACATAAAAGTTTCTGTCTACATCTGGCATTAACTTGTACATAGATTTCAGAGCTTCCACCTTGTTTTGTGCTAAGGTGACTTTAATATCATTTTTGTTTATTTATGTGGGTATTTCGTCATTTTCAGCAGTATATCTCCCCGCATTCCGTTGTCTTAATTTGGTAATTTTGTATTCACGTTCGTTAAAAGTGGTTCGGAAGCCGATGTCATAAAAATCTGTAGTAAATTGTAAAGAAATCACCTTTAAAAATGTAGCTGCAGTATAATTCAGTTTTGATCAATAGGTTGAAAAATCCAGAATATCTTTCTCTTTTATTTGAAGTATGGTGTAAGGCTTTCCTGTTTTTACTTTCAAAAAGACTCTTAATAACCAAAGTGGAGAAAAGTATTCAGATTTTCTCAAACTGCATTCAATTGCACTGTGAACTGAATCAACCTCTTGTATGTAGGAATGTCCAGGTACTGAAAACTTCATTTGAATTTTCTTTAAGTTCGTATTAGTTTTTAAAATATGTGCAATAGCAAAACTCATCAATTTATTGCGATTTTGTTTTGCGGAATGCAACTATTGCTCCACAAAGTCAAATCCTCCAATAACGGATAGTCTTCTACAATCCTTTTCAGGATTCTGTATACAAAAAGGTGCGCTGTCATGTTATACACATTTAGCTTACTTTTATAAAAGAAATTTTTGATGTCTCCTTTTGAACATGTCAATACATTTTGAAAGTCAAAACACAGTACTGTGTTACCATTTTCAATATTCGTCTTTTTGTCTTCTCTCATTAAATTTTTTTCTTGCAAGTGTTTTTCATATTCCTTTTTCTTTTCTTCATTAAGGGTGTTTTCTTTCTTCAGGCAGTCTATTTCAGCACAGAGGTCACATAGATCTTTTGAAGGTTTATTAAATGAATAATTAAATTCAGTGCAAAATATTTTGCGATAAACATTGTTTTACTGATGTAACTTTTTTTTTTTCTATGCTTTCCCTGAGCATTTTGACGAATTGTGTTCGTTTCTGTAGAGCTTTTGTAAACAGTGTATTTAGGTGTTTGACTTATACCTAGTATTCCGCAATAAAACTGTTTGTAAACCTGTATTTTATTATTTAAAATAAAGGAGAATTTAAAGGTTTTAGTTTTTTTTTTTTTTGAGTTTTGGGCATTTTTTCCTTTTCTTCTTCGCTGTGGAATATTCATTTCAGTTGTGCTTAAAATAAACATCCTTTTTTCATTGCTACTAGGCTTGTAATAATCAGAAAATATTTTTTTTCTATCTTCTTCGATTATATTTTAACACATTTATAAATGCATTTCTTGAAGCAGTCTTTATTTGTGTTTTATCTCTCTTGCTGGTCTTAACTTCTTTCGTGAAGAAAGGTATTCTAGCCCTCTATAAAAATTTTGTTTTCTAATATTGCAGGCCCAACGCTCGGGATTTCTAGATCTCTTTCTAGTACGTTTTTCTATTGTAAACTGTTATTTTTCTGCGGTTGATTTTCGGAATTTTCCTCATATTGCTGGTGCATATTTCTTTATTTTCCTTGGAAAAGTCGTCTTTTACTGGAATTGTTTGTTTTGTATATACATAGAGTAATAAAATTGATGACAGTTTCTAAATGCTACATATGTAGGACCGTGTTATTCTGAGTTTGGAAAGTTCACTAAAATTTTGCGAAACAACAAAATCGTATGTTTCAACATAGGACTATGTTGCGCTCTTTTCATATTTTCATAACATACACCAATGATTTTCGATTAATTTTAGAAGATTGCATTCATATATTTTAGATTTACAAAGTTCTGTAGGTGCCTTATGATACATAGAACATTGTTATCTTAAAACTGCTGATTTTTTAATTTTGTTACATACAGGCATGCCCTTGTAATACGCAGGCAGCGTTTTGTTGATCAAATAAAGTTAATCAACACAATTAAAATATTCTCAAGGCTAAATACTGAATTTGTCATCAAAAACCATGTGTTTACATCATATGTTTTACTAAATTTTTTGCCAGGGTTTATACAATAAAACACTTTTTTACTTCCTAAAAATTTATTCTAATCTACTTAAACTAGTCTTTCTTCTCTTTATTCGTATCTGATGATTCTTTGCTAAAGGAAACAATCCAGAAACATAACCAATTGGGCAAAAATATGTTTGTAACGACAGTATAAAGCCAGTTGCCATAAATCATGGAATCAACTATACCATACAATATTGATTTCTGAGTAGCATCCCATGCTCGACTCAATAGCTCCTTGGCTCCTTCTTCGGGGAACATCAAGTATGAATTCACTGCTACGACGGCTGTTAAAACTGTTATCGGATGAACTAGAAGCCACAACAGCTTCTGGACCCAAGAACATAACCTAAAACATCAAAAGCAAAGAAATAAACAAGTCAGCAGGTGTTTTTATAAAAGATGTTGTTGAATTTGAGATATTTTACCAAAAAACGAAGAGAATTGAACGTAGGTAACGCATATTGAATTTATAGATTTTGAAAAAGAGATCGGGGATAAATTATGGAAAAAGCCAATACCCGAACACTACACACTTGATATAGCATTACATAATTTTTCATTTTATTTCTCTTTGAATTACTTATAATTATTATTTAATTAACTTACCTACAGTCTGACGGATTTATGAGAAGTGCAATTGGTATTAAAATAGTTGCACAAAACAATCCCAAGGAAAAGTTATTCATCGAAATGCATATCAACGCTGTCCCTAACTCCAGCATCGCTAAAACATTGAGTAGTTCCATGCTTTCCCTACATTTTCTTAATCCAATGAAAAATGGTAAGAGTAGAAGAAGCCCGGATGATGCCAGTAGGGAGTAAAAAATTGTTGTATTCTTGTCGTAGTCCGTTAGAAGTGATACATATTGCGGTAAATTTGAAATTAATATTCCGAAAAAGTGAGTCATCAGGAAAATAATGATTATTTTGTCTACACGTACTACAGATTTAGGATTGGCTTTTTTCTCTTCTTCTGGTGATTTTTGGAGGTTAAACCATCTAGCACATGCTTTAATGAACATAGTTCCAGCCATTAAACACACAGATGGAATGTAAAGACCTGTAACATACATCAATTTGTAAATGTTAAGTAAAATTGTAAAGTAATATTACCAATATATTCCGATTTTTTTTCCAAAAAAACAATGTTGCAATGTTTTAAAACTTCCGATACCAAGCCGGGATGAGAAAGGAAGAGGGTAAATGGTTAGTGGGTGGATCTTGGAGGCAGCAGCCCTACCGTTGTCATTAAATACAAAGAAATGACCTAGTCAGCATATGTTTATGAAATATCCTACAACAAATCCTACCCTTGATGGGATGGTATAGGACTATGCCTGATAAACTTAGAAGGAGTATTAAACATAAGTTTCTAGCATCAATGTTTAACAAAAAAACATAGACAAGGTAACCTAGACTCTACTAATGAAAGAACAAGTCAGATTAATCACATATTAGACCAAGACATGGGATGGGATAGACGTAATGAACTGCAGAAGCTAGAGACGTCGACATAGATACAGATCACTTCTTAGTGATCTTAACCTTAAGGGGTAGAATATCAATTGTCAACAAAAAAAAAAAGATATCTACCAAAGTTGTCAAACAGTATTCAGAAAACATATTCAAAAAAAAGAAGACCAAAAACAAATAGACACATACTGGATCAGAATAAAAGAATTTGTTGAAATACATATTTATACAAAGGAAAATCAGTGGTTTGATGCTGAATGCAAGAAGGCAACCAGAGAAAAAGGTAATTCGGTTTGCTCTTTTACACCTTTTTCTATAATGTAGTGCCTAGTGACATTCGAAATTCGAATCCATCATCTTCTAAGTTTCATTTGGATAATCTGCATATTAATGCTTCATATTAATACCCTTACTAATAATTACATCAAAAAGTGAATCCAATGTAAAACACTTTATGAAGGAATGTATATGCTTCTACAGTTTACAGAATATCATCAGTAAAACAATATGTAGAGCTAAGTTAGACACAAAAACTTAAATAACTGTACATAATATCATATACTTACTTATGGAGATATATCGTTCAGAAGAAGGTAACAAATAAAAGAAAAAGCTCTGATGAAACCTCTCCAACAAATTATTTAAACTTCGGAAAATCCCTTCTATTACTCTGCCAATGCCAACCATCATTATTTTGTTATTTGACTTTATTCTGGACCTCTCAAATCCTTCTAATGTTAAGGCTTGGATACCAAATCTGTGAAACAGACCATGGTTGCCATTGGGAATCTAAAACAAACAGTTTGATGATACTCTCATAGTTTATTTTACTTAAACAATCACTAATCATTTATTTATTTATTGATCAATTGATTGAACGAAAAATTAAAAAAATTCTTCTTTTATTACTTCTAAAATTTTAAAAATGATAAAATGAACAATATCTTGATGTTGCAACCTAGGGAAACTCATAAACTAATGAATTACTCTTGGTTTTTTGTCAACAGATGATCCAGTTATAAGTTACCATGAACATTACAAAGTAATTTTTTTTCATCTTGGAAAATTAGCTGTAATTTTCTTAATTTTAATATTTTTGTACCAAAATTTCAGATAATACTCTTGAAATGTTGTACTATAATGTAATAAGGTTATAAATAAATTTGAAAAAACAGGAAAAAAGAAATATGTCAAGAGTGTCAAGTTTATGTATTTTAAGGAAATATGGAGTAAAGCACAATAAAAGGATAAAGACGGAGCTACCAAATGAAAAATTTAATGATAAATATCAATGGGATGCAGTAGAAGTTTTTTAAGTTGTCTTTACGCACAGTGAACTAAAAAATGATAAAATATATGTATTGTAAGAATATTAATAGACAAACCTATGGTAGAAATAAATATTGTAAAACAATACAGTGGTAAACTGACTGGCGAGGATGTACAGGCGTACCACATCAATGATATGTACTGTACTTAAACGGAAGGAGGTGATAAATGGTATAATGCCAGCTAAAAGATGAAGAAATGACTAATGGTGTGGGTGACAGAGAAGCAGCTTCAAGGAGGAACCTTAACAAAAAGCATCATATGTGAGAAGGTACATAATGAATCGGAAGACTCCTTTAAAGCCAGTAGGGGCTGGTTTGACAACTTTAGAAAAAGAACCGGCATTCACTCCGTCGTCAGGCATGGTGAGGCAACAAGCTCGGATGTGAAAGCATCTGAGGTGTACATCAAAACGTTTTCGGAACTGATAGAAGCCAAAGGATACATACCCCAGCAAGTCTTCAACTGTGACAAGACAGGGCTTTTCTGGAAAAAGATGCCAAATAGGATTTACATAACGACAGAGGAGAACACAATGCCAGGTCACAAACCTATGACAGATAGATTAACTCTACTTCTTTGCGCCAATGCGAGTGGTGACTGTAAAATCAAAGCTCTTCTAGTGTAGCATTCAGAAAATCCCAGAGCCTTTAAGTCACATAAGATTTTAAAAGAAAAACTGCTAGTTATGTGGAGGGCAAATCCAAAGGCGTGGGTCACTAGGAAATTCTTTGTGGAGTGAATAAACAGGTGTTTGCCCCTTCTGTTAAAAAATATCTACAGCAAAACAACCTACCCATGCAAATCCTTCTTTTCCTCGACAATGCCCCTTCTCACCCACCAAATCTCGAAGATAATTTACTCCGAGAGTTCCAAGTTTATAAAGATACCTACCAGCCAAATCCACTCCTATCTTGCAGCCCATGGATCAGTAAGTGATTTCTAATTTTAAGAAGTTGTATACCAAGCACATTTTTCGGCGCTGCTTTGAGGTGACAGAGGACACAAATCTAACCCTTTGACAGTTCTGGAAGGACCACTTTAACATAGTAATATGCCTAAGAATTATTGAACGGGCCTGGCTAGGTGTTACAACAAGGACCTTAATCTCTTCATGGAGAAAGCTGTGGCCTGAGGCTGTAGATGAAAGGGACTGTGAAGGACTGGAACCTGACGTGTCAGTGGTAGATGAAATTGTTTCTCTTGGAAAATCCATGGGTCTGGAGGTGGATGAAAGAGATGTGGACAAACTTGTCGAGAAACAGTCTTAGGAGCTGACAACCAAAAGAGATCCTGGGAATGTGGGAGAAAGTTGGAGAGTTTGTGGATAAAAATCACCCCGAAAAAGTTACAACTGTTTGTGCATCAGTGAACACATTTCCGCAATATTCTGAAAGACAGGAAGGAACAAACCTGCTTGGACAGTTTTTTTAATCAATCTGCAGATGAAAATGAGCAAATTGTGACGTAAAAAAGCGAAGACCACTGACGAAAATTAAGCGCTTCCGTAAGCACTTTTTCTTATGTTTTTACAGAATATGTATGTATTTTTTGTTACTTATAAATAAATGTTTCTTCTTTTAAACATATTTTTCTTATTTAAAAACACTTAACAAAAGCAAATAACATGTTTTTTGGGGACTAAAACGGATTAATGACATTTCAGTTCATTTCAATGGGGAAAATTACTTTGACATAATATGATCAAGATTATGGAACGAATTACACTCGTATGTAGAAGTACCACTGTATTATAATTTAAAAAGTAACTTACTCCACTAGCTTGTGTAGCCATCATTGATAATAAATTCTTAAAGTAGTTCCACCATTCTTTAACTGGATCTCTGGAGTATCTTGGACCTTTATTCTTGAATGTTTGATAAACACCTTCTTTGGCACACATTTTTGAAGCCAAATTGAAAAGATCCAAGTTTGGTAGCTGTCCATTTAAACCTTCTATTTTTATATCCATTTGTCCTATTAAAACCAGTAATAGTTAACAAGATATGCATATATGTATAAATAAGCAAGAATCGATAATTAAAAAATAAGTAAAAAAGGAATGAAGCTAAGAGATAACACAACAAATGCATTCATTCATTTATAACAGGTACGATACTAAAGAAACAGAAATATATTTATGGATAGAGGAAGAGAAAAATAAGTATTTTAGAAATAAAGAAGATTCACCAAAACATAGGCAATCTTACAGTAAATTATAAATGGTTTTATTTATTTATTAACTGATATACCATTTACATTGGAATAAAATATAATATATAAAATTTTACAAAGTAAGCATAACATTGGAAAATAATTAGTACAGTTTAACAAAAACTAACAATCAACTTGAATATAGACTAATATCACACAAATAGCAGTCTCTTATCAAATTTTTAAATTGTTCTAAGTAAGGACTGGAAAAATAAGTCCAGATCACTTTGGTACCTATTATATAGTCTCACCATATGAGTAAGAGGCTTGAAGTATTCATAATTAAATTGATGAAATGGTAGATGAAATAATGAAGTATGACTGTTCCATGAAGAGTGTTAAGACCTATGATTTAAAAGTTCAGGGCAATTTATCAAATTATTAGCAATTTTGTAAAGGAATATTAGGCAAAAATAATCTTTACGCCGATTCATAGAAACCATTTTCAAGTGATCAGCTATCAGTATCAGCTATGGTATTCAATTAAGTAGTATATTTGGCCATATGAATAAAAATACTTACCAATCTTTTCACTATGTAATTCTAAATTAATAGCAGCCTGAATAGCTCCCCCTCTGCCTCTTAGATCACCATGATCTAAAACTTCTTCACTTCCACAACTGACGCCATAGTATGCCTCTAACCAGGCCTGGGTACCCAACTGTTCATGTTCAGTGATCAAAAATATTATATCTTTTGCCCAATATTTCTCTCCTTAAATGAAATGGTATAAAATATATTTATTTAATATATTACAATAAATAATGAAATACTTATAATAAACTACACAGCATAAGAAGTAATAGAATCTAGAAAAAGACACTTTTTGATATATTACGATTTATATAAGTAAAGATATAAAAAATAGGACAATAATACCATAAAACAAAAGTAACATAACGTAATAAAAAAGACAAGGTTGATATCAAAGATTAATAAGTAGACAAAAACATAAAATAATTTACTATAAAAATAAAACGTAGTGATTTTCCACACAGAAATACTGTTTAGTTCTATATGCATACTTATGTGTCTATACATTATTAATTCTATATTCCTATCCCTACTGTGTTGTGTTTTCTTTCTGCTTTATGGCTAAGGAGCTATCAATTTGTCAAACTACATTGTGTCTACTACATTGGGTCTACCAATATCTGGTTTGGGACTAAATGTACAATAACATGAACAGAGTAATAAAACTTATATTATTTCTTCTTTACATATGACTACTATTTTAATAAATATTACTAGAGAATCCTTGAATTGTGTTTATGACTTTCCTCAGCTGTTCCTTTTTTCAGGTGAGAGTTACTCTTAAATTTCTCTTTTAAAAGGCTTTAACACTCTCGCTGCCATGTGTAACATTAATGTACACTCTGTATTGACAAACGTGTAACATTAATGTACACTTACAGCGTTTCACGTTAACAAAATAGTATAGTTTTGGCGTACAACGAAAAATTTAAAATATTAATATTTATCTGTAACATCTCCTTTACCCTTAAGATTATCTTTATGAAATTATTTTTTTATTAAAAAATACTAAATGTTGTAACTTACTGTTGGCATATTTCGCAAACGCTAACATAATAGCTATGGATGGACCTGTAGGAGGATGTACACTAGTGCTTGGTCTGTAAGGAGTACTTAAAACTAGTGCTTCAGTGCTGGCACCTCTGGGTGCTCTAAGAATACCATATATGTTTTTTCCCGAAAATTTTTCATTTCGGTTAAACGGAGAAGTGAGTGTAAAATTATGTATGTAAGCATCTAAACCAATCTGTTTGAATTTTGCTACAATCCAGGGATATGGAATAGAATCTTCATATTTCTTCATTTCATCCTGTAATTCTTCATTGTATCTTAATGCTTCTCTGTCTTCGCGAAATTGAGATTTAACTAAGCCAGGTAATAGTGCGTTTTCAGAGAAATATGTGCTGGCATTCATTGTAGGATAAGCTAAAGTACAAAACCAGATAACCCCAGATATATAAAGCAAAAAACACAGCTTACTGTAGTATTTTAAAAGCCATTTTACATATTTGCCTTGACCTGTAGTAGGATCTGTAAGTAATCCCATTTTATACTATTAGTTTTTCTCAAAAATAATAATATAATAAAATTATTTATTTAAACCGGGTGTCACCATTTCAAAACATCTAAATATAACCTTATTGAACCTTATTAAAAGTCAATATGGGTTGTCAATGTCACTAATTTTTCTTCTATTTCCCTCCTTGGACAAAGGCAACAAAGATCATTGCTGCCTTCACGCCGATCTTAAATGTCAGTATTATTGGAAATAAATATTTCAAGAAAACAGAAAGAAAGAATTGAAGATTCTATTAGTATTTTGATCCAGATTTGCAACTAAATTGTAAGCATGGGTTTTCTAACTGTATTGAAAAAAATGAAACAGAAAGAAAAGGAAATGCGCATCTTAATGCTGTAAGTGATTCAATTTAAATCAGATGGTTTACAAAAAGACCGATTTTTTTTAATTTAACATTTTTTAGTGGCTTGGACAATGCTGGAAAAACGACAATCCTTAAAAGATTCAACGGAGAGCCCATTAACACCATATCTCCAACGTTAGGATTTAATATAAAAACTTTGGAACATAGAGGGTGAGTTGATGTCATTAAAACAAATGCTTTTAAGGAATTAGTTTGATCTATACATAACAAGCTACTTGTAGGTATATCTAGCATAAATATAGTTCTTTGGAGCAGGAAAAATCTACAACAACTAATTAACACAATAACATTGTAGCCTGTGGTATAGACAGAAGTGATTGTTTGATTTTTAATTAATACTCATTTTTATTGCTGATTCGTGATCTTAACATGATTTATGAAGTCATACATTGAATTTTTTTAGATTTAAATTAAATATGTGGGATGTCGGAGGCCAGAAATCTTTAAGATCATACTGGAGGAACTATTTTGAATGCACTGATGGTCTTATATGGGTAGTTGATAGTGCAGATAAAAGAAGACTAGAAGATTGTAAAGCTGAGTTGAATTTGTTGTTAAGAGAAGAAGTAAGGTAAATAGGCATTTATGTGTACATTTTGTAAAGATAATTGTTTTAGAGATTAGCTGGAGCAACTTTATTAATTTTTGCAAATAAGCAAGATTTGCCAGGGTCTTACAATATAGAAGAGTTGAAAACTGTAAGTTTAATATATTATCTTATTAAGTAGACTACAAAGTTATGAGTACCGTAAAAATCTTCCAACTTGATAAAAATGTGTAAATGTTATACAATCACACAATATTTTGGCACTGCAAGAAAAACTAATTTACTTATATACTTGTCATATCTAATGATTTAACTGCATAACTGTGTTTTTGTAATTACCATGGACATATAAACACAGATGGACTCAGTTATTTACATAAAATTGTGAAGTCAAAATTATTTGAATAGGTCACATTCTCAGCACCTTCAACTGTTGTCACGTTGTGTTTTAAAATTTCTTATTCGTGAGTTGCTGAAAATATTACTCCGTATTTTATACTCTACAGGTGCTATCAAACCAAAATAATAATTTATTGGTTATACTAATATATTTAATTGTAATCAAAATATAAAGTGTGCACATAGTGTGCATTATCATTTAATAATAGCGTATAATAGATATCAATGAATTATATTATATGTAGAAGCACTGAAAACTATTTATAAATGGCAACGGTTGTTTACATTTCTCTGTCTTATGGATCTACATCAAACTTCAAATGCTGTTCCATGTTTGTTTACTTTTTAGTAAAAGTTGTTTTTCGATATTTTGGCTGTATTTTGAGTGAAAAGTGAAATAAAATAAACGAAATATTTACATCCCGATCTCTCATTTCATTTGTAAGTACATACAATTTACATTATTTAAGATGAGGAAGCATGTTTGTTTACATTTTAATAGGCGTACCATTGGGTTTATTCATGTTCATTAATGTATTGAATAAGATATAAGTTCATGAAATTAGTAGACATTTTTAAATTGTAAGTAGACATCATCTGATTAAAAAAGATCTGTTTAGTACCTTTTTAAAACGTGTTTTTATACATTATTACTACTTCCAATTTTTAAAATCTAAATAATTACCCGCGAGTAAAAATTCAAGCACGCTTATGCTCATTGCGGAAGCATCACATTCTATGGAAGCTTCAAAACATTGTGTGTTAAAGGTATCTTATTGCTGTGTCTATCTATGTTTATACGTCCATGGTAATTACAGTTTTTTCCTGTATTTTGTGTGAAATGATGCAATCTTCTGTATTTTGTGTGAAATGATGCAAATTTTAGTAATGATAAAACCGTGTTATGATATAAACAATATCCTTAATAATTAACACTAAAATATCTTCACATCATTATTCAGGTTACGAAAATAATTATAGGACGATTTTCACATTTGGTCCCATTGAAGATAGCTTCAAATGGGTTTGACGGAATGAAATATTGGTGTTTCGAAGTGTTGAAATTTACATTACAAATTAAACATACACAATTAAAAGCAATAAGATATTTAAAAACTAATATTTAACGATTATGAAAAAAAGAAAAAGTAAATAGTTTTAAAACAGTTTTTAACAGTAAATAGTAAAATGTCAGTATAAATAATAAAATTTAAACGGCATCTGTTCCAATTTGGCAGCTAGTGGTTTGAGGGTTCTGACTCTATTGCCAAATCTATCCGCTAACCTATCAAGGGGCAATTGCCAAAAAAACTTTCTAATGATTTATTACAACTAATAACAAACGAAACAAATATTACTTCATTAATATTTTATATAAGGTATAAAATTGCAGACTCCATAAAATAATATGATAAAAATGTACCTTTTAAAAGCTTTATCTCTTTGTATTTAAAGCATATAACAAACATATACATTATAAGAACATGGCAACACTGCCAACACAATATTTCGTTCTGTGAACCTTAATTGACAGCTAATTTGAGGCTAACTTCAATGGGACCAAACGTGAAAATCGTCCTAATTATATTTCCAGTTTAGAACTACTTTACAAAAACCTCAATTTTAATACTTGTTTATAATTGTTATTAATACTCTTGTTATTCTAGATATTGGAATTAGATTCAATCAAAACTCATCACTGGAAAATAGTTTCTTGCAGTGCAGTAACTGGTGAAAATTTGTTAGAAGGAATTGATTGGCTCATCACAGATATAGCAACTAGAATATTTACCTTGGACTAAATGACACCAATGATATGGATATGCTTCTTTTTATTAATTACATACTAATGTTTACAAAATTTATTTATTTTTATAAAATATAGTCTATTTACAATTCATACAGTTTATTTTAATTAATGAGTATCCATAAACTGGATTTCTGATAATACTAATATATTACTTGGTAGTGGTTTAGGTTGAGGTGAGAGAACAGTGATGATTTGCCTATCTGCATCAACATTGGTACTGAAAATAAAAAAATGTATATCTTCATTATAATAAATCAATAAAAAAGAAAATAAGAGACTTCAGATACATATTTATTAGATGAATTGTTGAATAAAAGAACAAAACAAGTTATTACTTACACACAAATATATCCTGCAATATGCGATGTAATGATATCCTCCTCCCCATTCTCAGAAAAGCTGACTGCTAAAAGATGATGTAGTATTCCTGCATTGGGTGTCAATAAAACTAGCTTGGTCATATGGTCCTCTGCTTTCATTCCAAGAGGAAGGCATGAATCAGGCAAAGCAGGAGCTCCTATCTTATATATTTTAACATCAGAATACTTTAAATCAAATGAATGCGGATACAGAGAGTTTTTAGGGGATCCGTAAAAATATTCTCTAGTTCTTAAGTCCCTTTGTTCTATTCTGTTACTTTTGGAACGTTCTACAACCTAAAAGGAAGGTTACTTTGGGATAAGTGAATTACTTCATTAAGTGTCTTAAAAATAAGTATTCAATAAAAATCTACTTACTCCACCACTTTTTGGCAAAAATATGATCTTTACAAAGCTAGGCATATCTCGGACCATCTCGTTATAGAGCCTTTCCTGATCCAAAACCATTATAACATCTACTTCGAAAGCTTTTGCTGTACTTAAAAGTTGTTTGTAACCATCCCCTTTGGTCCAACCACAGGTATTAATGATAACACCAGATGCACGAGCTAAAAATTTAAAAATACAGTACTTTATAATTAGTAGTTATACTTGCATAATGATAAAGAATATGCGATAGTGACAGATATATATTAAGAACATTGATTATGATATTAAAAATGTTTTTTACACAAATACTTGTGTGGAAGAAATAAACATGTCAGGGTAGTCCTGCGATTCGCTAATAAATTGTAGAGAACTTGCCCAATAAAATAATTCATATTAATTGAGTGAGTACAACAATGAGCTAACTACAACAATGTTAAATATCAGAAGTAAATTCCTACTGGGGTCATTTTTATTGTGTATACATCGCCAATGTGGATAAGTGAAAAGTATGATGGTTCCATAAAATTTGCCCCATAATAATATACCTTCTGTATACTGATGCAATTCATAAGAGAATAGTTGAATAAGTTCGTTGAATACTTTGAAACATCAGTAAACTAATCAACACTTCGCTGGTCTATTTATTTATGCCCTTGGAAAGAATGAGAGAAATAGTTTATTTGTTTCACATTCCATATCTGCATAGGCATGATGTGTTCTGTTTCTTGACAATATATTTATTAAATAGACTTTATTATATTTATTAACTTTAATACAATAGTTTTTGATGAAGTTTATGTGGGTAGAAAAAAAAGGAGATTTTAAAGTGTATGAAAATTTAAAAAATACACTTTGTACAGTGGAAGTTGATACAGAGTATCCGTATCAACAATTGAATGCATTGTACATGGAAAAAGGAGACTGGGATTATGCCCCAGATTAAGTCCCAAAAGTACACTGTCGTGGTAGAAAAAAATTCAATTGGATGAGTACCAGAAAACGTTTGTATGCACTATTATTCATTCTTTATTTTTTTAAGAATAAAGGTAATAGAGAATGATTCCAAAAAATTTAAAATTTATATATGCCCAGCGATTCCGTAAATCTTTCTTAATAGAAAGAGAAGATTTAGTCCACAAAGCCCAGGTTCATTCTACCCACAAAAAGATTTATTGTCTGGATGAAACGCGAATGAATGCTGGTCACACAGTATCTATTTGGCAAGATACTACTGTAACAAGTTACTGTCAAGCCTTTGTGGAAAGTTTATCAACAGGAATATGAGAACTAATGGGTAAAGGGCAACAGCTGATTGTCACTCATGTAGGTGATGAGATTGGCTTTTTAGAAGATAGTGCACTCATTTTTTATCAAAAAAAAACAGAGGATTATCACGAAGACATGGATGGCCAACACTTTGGATCCCTTCTTTGACTAGTTACTAGTTGCACCAAATTCAGTAATAGTGATGGATAACAATTGCTGATTAGTAACAGATCTTCCAACTATTGTCACCAGAAAAACAGACATGCAGAGTTGGTGTGGCAAAAAGGAATTCAATTTTCGGAGGACATGGTTAAGGCTGAGCTTATAAGTATCATTATATAGCTTTGTGACAAATATCGTCGGCATGTTGTATATACAATGACTTGTGCTAAAGTCATCACTATTTTGAGACTTCCCCCTTACCATTGCGAGTTAAACCTAATAGAATTAATCTGGGCTTAAGTAAAGAGTTATGTAGCTCATTTATTAGGATTCGCAATGGAACATAAACATAAAGAAGAGTGGACTAATGCTGTAGCCCATGTGATCAAGAATGAAGAGAAAATTTGGAGATTCGACAGGATGGTAAAAACTGTTGTTTAACAAAATAATAGACTTAAGTGTGACTGGGGATTCCTCTTTGGATGAGTCACTAGATTCCGAAACTTCATAAGCATAACTTTTATTTCTTTGCTTTGTAGTTCTCCTTCTAAATAATTGGAATATAATAATTATTTTGCAAAATTTTCTGTTTTTTGATATACTATATTAGGCACTCATTATAATAACAATAAAATTTTACTTTATTTTATTAGACAACTATAAGATACCTGTCAAAACACACATGATAATTTAATAATTATATCAGTCTTAGATTTAATATTTACGTAATTACTTGTGTGTTTAAATAAATAATAAATAATTAAAATATTATTTTGGTATGCCTCTTTTGACACAGTTGACAAGGAATTGTTATAGTATAGATATAGGTTTTGACTCTGATCCCTATGATTGAGAGATTCAGAAATTACATGATTTAAATATCTGATAGATTCAATATTACACGAATAGAAGGGAGTTCCATAGATTCCCAACCTATGAAGATGCTTGGGAAGACAATGGTCACATTTTAGCCAGGTTATGAATGAAGAATGCACTTTATTATAGTTATAGTTGAAATGAGCAATATTTTTTGGTAAGCATGGATAAAGTACTGATTTCTGGATCTCTTTATATTTTGACCTTCATCTTTCACTGACAATACACTCCTAATATTGGAAAATAGATCTTTAAAGTTAATAATGGTTATTATTTCTGATCTCTCAGATGTATTTTTTTATACTATCCACTATTTCATTACTAATTACTCCACTATGTCCTTTACCCAGAATAAAGTAACTGTTTTCTTTGTGTATTTTAGATATGTAATAAGTTTCTACTATCAAGTGACACACTGAGTTAATGCTTTCAGTATAGCAGCAAAAAAATAGCTTTTTCTCAGTTGTTAAAATAGACCAATATTAAGAAAACTATATTTTTCAACACAATTTTTGTTTAAAACAAAAAATTGAAACACCAATGCTTCTTTAAATTTTGATCCATCTGTAAAAATTATTGTTAAATCTTCCCCTAATTTGCTTAGTATGGATTTGAATATCAGATTAGTTAAAATTGGGAAGTTTGAGTACTATAATATAATGGTTGGTTTGTCTATGAGAACTTCAATGTCTTAATAGGAAGTGATATGTGTCTATTTTGTCACCAATGTACTTAAACTTTGGCAATATTTCATGTTACATTCACAACTTACTGTAATTTAGTGTGATTTCCAATACTTAACTCAAACTAACCTGTTGTTATTAAAATTATATTGATAAATTAAAAAAAAACATACTTTTCTTATTTACTTCTAATCTCTCCTTAACCATAGATGCTAACTGATCCACTAATATACTGTATAAATTAATATTACTTTGAGGACTTTTGTGCCCAAAATTATATACTAATGGGGCTTCTTGTGAAAACCCTTCTTCTATACCTGCAGGCCGTTCCACCACTAAGGCTCCTAAAAAATTTGACTTTATATAACTGAATTATAATCAATGAACAAAATGCTTACCAATAGTCCCAGGAATTGAAATATGGCCCTGTCCTACATCTATATCTACAAAAATAGGTCTTCTCACCATTCTAGCTGCATAATTTAATAACACCCTAGAAAGAGTTGACTTTCCAACATCTCCTGGGCCTACGATCATAGCTATGGGACCCCTTTTATTTTCTTTTTCTGCTTCGGTCCTCAGAATTTCGAGAGCAGCATGACAGTTTGAATATATAATCATAGGAGTTTCTTTTGCTGTGTATATAACATCGGTTTTACCCTTTACTTCTACAACACATCCATGCCAAGTAAAAACTGCCACTTTGGCTCCCGATAAAAATTCATAAGTCTTGGCTTTAACTAATTCTGTACCAAAGATTTCGGCGGTGCCACTTTTTAAAGTTAAATAAACTTTTTCATTTTTCGATTCGACCTCAAAGCGAAGTTCATTGTCTTGCTCCAATACAAACTCTTGTATCATTTTTTTGTCGGTAGTCATTGTGATTATTTTATTTTATATTTAAAGCAATTAAATCTACGTTTCATAACCTAACATACTTTCAATTGAATCAAACCGAACCAAAATAACATAAACAAACAAGCATTTGACTTTGACACAGTGTTACCAGTGGCTGGGCATGGAAAGATGCACCTCCCTGTCAAAAATTATGCGATTTTGTACAAAATTATGCGCTCTGTTGTAACCTTACTGTCATCTGTCACGTCCTGTCAGTTGTCATTGTAAAGGCCGTATGACAGTATGCATTTTCTTGTATCATGTCTTATATCGTTTCTGATTTACTAAGTTATTTATGTTTTCTTGTATCTAAGTCTTGAATATAAAATTTTCTTCGATAAATAATTTTTATTTGCTAAAGATAATGCTGTGTCACCGAAGAAATAACAATTGTTGGTTGAGTTTACCGAAAGTACAAGCTGATTATAGCCACAAATGTCAAACATAGAACAAAAACTTTCTCTAGTCTATAGCAGTGTTGGCATGTTTTTGTAAATGTAGATGCTGTATACTTCAAATATAAAAAGATAAAGCTTTAGAAAAGTACATTTTGTTTATATTATGTGATGAATTCTGCAATTTTTGATTTATATAAAACAACAATGAGTAAATATTTGTTTCTTTGGAGATTTATTGCAGTTAATAATTAGAAATTTTTTTAGCAATTACCCTTTGATAGGTTAGAGGATAGATTTGGCAATCGTCAAATCAGCAGTTGTGAGATTACAAAAAAAATTGCAATTAATCTCAAAAAAGATATCTACTCGTTATTGCTTCATGTAAATTAAAAATTGCAGAATTCATTAAATGGTATAATCAAAATGTACTTTTTGAAAGCTTTATCTCTTTATATTTGAAGCATACAACATGCGTTATAAAAACATGCCAACACTGCCAAACCGAAATATTTTTGACATTTGCGGCTATATTCAGCTTGTACTTTCGGTAAACTCAACCCAATTGTTTATTATTTTGTGGCTGTGTAAAATGTCAGCACAAACGCTTTCTTTTAAAACAAACAAGAAGACGAGTACTCTTATTATAAACTGGCTTGTCATTGGTTTTTTTTGCTTTGCTGGATTGTGCGAAATTATGTGATTTTATGCAGGATGCGAAAATTATGCGCCGGCAACTAAATTATGCGCAAATCGCATAATTATGCGCCGATTGGCAACACTGCTTTGACACCTACTTTGTGACTTTGAATTGTCTATTCGCTTAGCTAGGGCATATTTTGACAGACTCATTGTAGGAAACCTACAACACAACAATTCCTACTTCTCAGTATAAATAGCTCAAGTATACTACTATTGCAGACCTGTTTCTTTGAAAAAAAGAAGAATTATTCTAAATAGTGGAAGTGTATACTAAACCCATCAAATTTTCCCTGTATATTTAAAATATAATATTTGAATTGTTACAATTTAAAATATTGTAGTAAATATTTGTATTATTCGCGTTGTTTATTTAATTTAATTGTGTTTTATTATCTTTGTTTAATTCTTTTGTTAGTTCTATTCAGTTAATTAGTTAGTTATATTTTAAATTTTATTATTATGGATAGTCAAAGTTTTCCATTTGTTCCATCAGCTAATGCTTTGGTAAGTTTTTCTTAATAAATATGATATAATGTTTTTTAAAAAGTTTTTTTTAAAGTTAATATTTTTAGATTAGTAAGGATGCTGTTCCTAGATTACAAGGTAATAAAACTGCACAAAGGTTTATTCAAAATGCCTACCATTTTTTTTACCGAATGAAAACCCTGTTGAGGTAAGTTGATCATTAAAATGTATTTATCGAATTATGTAAATGTTGTAAATACATCATGATATAAGGAAACAAGGTATGCTCACTAGGTGGACTCGTTTTTGCACATTTCTGCGCCGACAAAAATCCGCCATCTTTTCAATATGTCACATGCGTGTAGGGATGGTGACATGATCCCGTACCAGTTACTTTGGAACATGTATTTTATTTATACTTGTGGAACTGATCCCTAACACCAATATATTATAATAAACGAGTACGGGTCATGGACGTATAAAAAAAGATCTTTATTTATACGTCCATGGTACGGGTACTGTACTCATAGTAAGTGTAAGTGGGCATCCACAAAAATACTTGGATCAACCACCTCTACATGCGTGACGTCTGCTTTGTTTACTTTTGCATTTTTTAACCTTACTTTGCAATGTATTGGAATTTAAAAGTAAATGTGTTTTTGTTTTGTTTCGATTTTTTAAAAATTATTTTAGCAAGAGTCTGTTCAGATCATTTTAAATATGAATTAATTGGATTAATGTATAATATTAATTTTAGTTTATTTAAATTAACTACGATATTTCGTATCAATTTTGTACATATTTGAATTGCCGCCTTCAAAATGGCGGATTTTGGTCGTAAACGCGATTGGCTGTTCAAAATAGATGCGCGTGAGCATACCATGTTTCCTTATATCATGTAAATACATAAGGAACTTGCTGTGTCTTATTCTTAGTTATACCCGGTTCGCTATTCCCAGTCCGAACTGTCTAGTGATTTTAGTAATTATTTTTTTGCGAAGTTAGTTACTTTTTGACAGACTCGAAGTGGCTGGAAATTACTATACAACCAAGCATACGTGCTCTTAGTCAATATTAATGTAAACAAAAGTAAATAAAATAGAACTTTGCCGACAATCAATATTTATTTATTTACACCGTATAATGTATTGATAGCAAATAATAAAATTATTTATTGTACAAAATAAAAAAAGTGGGAATAAATTCTACAAAATTAAAAAGTCAAAGTGAGGTTAAATAAGACATAGCAAGTTCCTTATGCTGTGACTAGGATGGAATCAATGATTAAATATTAACAGTTCATTGGATAGCATTAACATAAACTGTTTTTTTATTATCTTACAAAATAAGTGTACTTCCACATGCTAAAAGCAAATATTAGTAATTTGACTAGGCAAATTCGTGGTTCAATAGTACTTTTTGCTCATTAGCATTTGAGGATGTTAAAATCTTCTACATATGGTGAATAAATTCAGTATTCTGGCCGCAGTCTGCAGTCATATAAACCCAAACAAACAACAAAAACCTCCATGTAAGTATAGACAAGTTTATATTAAATTAGAAACAACTAATCTAAAAATATTAACTTTTAAAAAACATTTTATCATATTTATTAAGAAAAACTTACCAACGCATTAGCTGATGGAACAAATGGAAAACTTTGACTATCCATAATAAAATTTAAAATATAACTAACTAATTAACTAAATAGAACTAACAAAAGAATTAAACAAAGATAATAAAACTATATTAAATTAAATAAACAACGCGAATAATACAAATATTTGCTACAATTTTAAATTGTAACAATTCAAATATTATATTTATACAGGGAAAATTTGATGGGTTTAGTATACACCTCCACTATTTAGAATAATTCTTCTTTTTTTCAAAGAAAGAAGTCTGCAATAGTAGTATACTTGAGCTATTAATGCTGAGAAGTAGGAATTGTTGTGTTGTAGGTTTCCGACAATGAGTCTGTCAAAATATGCCCTAGCTAAGCGAATAGACAATAACCTCACTTTGACTTCTTAATTTTGTAGAGTTTATTCCCACTTTTTTATTTTGTACAATAAATAATTTTATTAATTGTTATCAATACATTATACGGTGTAAATAAATAAATATTGAGTGTCGGCAAAGTTCTATTTTATTTACTTTTGTTTACATTAATATTGACTAAGAGCACGTATGCTTGGTTGTATAGTATTTTCCAGCCACTTCGAGTCTGTCAAAAAGTTACTAACCTCGAAAAAAAAATAATTACTAAAATCACTAGACAGTTCGGACTGGGAATAGCGAACCGGGTTATACAGTTATGTGCAGCTAGCAAGGCCAAAAGTAGAGACCTCTTAAGGCAGCTTTAAGGGAGCTTTACATCTAGGCTATGCAAGTCTCACGCTATGCAAGTCCGTCTTGCATGGCACATCTCTTGCCTAGCTTGACCTTTTTACATCAGAGATATTTCTGTGCAATTTTAGATCCCTTTCATTGTTGCCAACAGAGAAAATATTTATCAATTTGAGGTTATTTTATTTTAAATAAAAAATATAATTAAGTACTAAAATAAATAATATAATAACTAAATATACACTATTTATGGTTATTAAAAGGGTGAAGGATGTCAACCAAAGAAAAGAAAACATTGTTATTGTTGAATATTGCTGTTGTAGCAACAATCATCCATAGTCAACGACTCACCCAGTCGTTTTTACATTAACTTTAGACATAGTATATCTATTTATCACCACTTAATAAACTTAATTTAAATCAAAACACAACAATACACATGTGGCTTAAGGGACGCTAAAGATAGAGATAAGGTTATGTTTTATTCTGTAATCTAATATAAATTGTTATGTTGGCAACATGAATTTTAACGATAAATTGCAAGAAAATTGCATGAAAAATAGAACATGTTCTAATTTTTCGTCTAGCACAGGAATTGCATGGAAATAGCCCGTGGGCATGCGCAGTTCCATGATCTGTCTTGCATGGCTCTTGCCTAGCATGAAAATAGCATAATGTAAAACTGTCTTTACATCTAGGCTATGCAAGTCTCATGCTATGCAAGTCCGTCTTGCATGGCACATCTCTTGCCTAGCTTGACCTTCAGAGATATTTCTGTGCAATTTTAGATCCGACTTTCATTGTTGCCAACATAGAAAATATTTATCAATTTGAGGTTATTTTATTTTAAATAAAAAATATAATTAAGTACTAAAATAAATAATATAATAAATAAATATACACTATTTATGGTTATTAAAAGGGTGAAGGATGTCAACCAAAGAAAAGAAAACATTGTTATTGTTGAATATTGCTGTTGTAGCAACAATCATCCATTGTCAACGACTCACCCAGTCGTTTTTACATTAACTTTAGACATAGTATATCTATTTATCACCACTTAATAAACTTAATTTAAATCAAAACACAACAATACACATGTGGGTTAAGGAACGCTAAAGATAGAGATAAGGTTATGTTTTATTCTGTAATCTATTATAAATTGTTATGTTGGCAACATGAATTTTAACGAAAAATTGCAAGAAAATTGCATGAAAAATAGAACATGTTCTAATTTTTCGTCTAGCACAGGAATTGCATGGAAATAGCCCGTGGGCATGCGCAGTTCCATGATCTGTCTTGCATGGCTCTTGCCTAGCATGAAAATAGCATAATGTAAAACTGTCTTAAGAAACGAAAAACCAAAACGGTCCAAAAATTTGTCTTTATTTTTATTGATCGATCTGTTACTGTTACTTTTTTCTTTATTTATAGATTCAAAAAGATTGAGACATTTTTCACATTTGGTCCCGCTGAAGATAGACTCAAATTAGGGTCGAGTTTCCTGAAAGTACAAGCTGATTATAGCCTGAAATGTCAAACATGGAACAAATTTTTTTTTTATAATGTAGATGTCGTAGGCAAGTATGTAATCCAGGTATTTTTGCAAAAGCCTAGTCATTTTCGTAACGACTTGGCAGTTTGTATAACGTTTTCATTTTTACGAAATGACTTCACCCTTTAGGCATTTGCGAAACTACCGGAAACGGTAATTCTATTTTGCGAAAATGACTAGGCTTTTGCAAGAATGCCTGGATTTCATACTTGCCTACGACATATGTCTTGTATGCTTCAAATATAAAAAAATAAAGCTTTAGAAAAGTACCTTTTGTTTATATTATGTTATCAATTCTGCAATTTTTGATTTATATAAAATAACAATGAGCAAATATTTGTTTCTTTGGAAATTAATTGCAGTTGATTATTAAAAATTTTTTTAGCAATTACACTTTGGTAGATTAGAGATTAGACTTGGCAATCGTCAAATTACAATAGATGTTTAGAATTAGTCTGGAAAGAGACAAATATCTACTCGTTATTGTTTCATTTAAATTAAAAATTGCAGAATTCATATAATCAAAATGTACTTTTTAAAAGCTTTATCTCTTTGCTGCTATATTCAGCTTGTACTTTCGGTACCAATATTGCGTTGGCAGTGTTGTCATGTCCTTATATTATATTCAAATACAAAGAAAGCTTTTAAAAAGTGCATTTTTGTTATATTATTTTATGGGTTCTGCAATTTTATATTTATATAAAACACGAACTAATTAATATGTTTTTTTTTTAATTAATTACAGTTAATTATTAGATTTTTTTTTTGGGAATTGCCCTTTGATAGATTAGCGGATAGATTTCATAGCACACTCCCACCGATAGATTTGGTAATAGAGTTACCACCAGTTGCCCAGATGTCTTTTTAATTACTTATACTGACATTTTACTATTTACTTTTAAAATAACTTACTTTTCTTTTTGGTAATTGTAAACTATTATTAATGCCCACTGTACTTGAAAAAATAAGTACGCGCATCTCGTTCACGCAGACGGAATCAGCCATGTTTTAAACGGAACCAGTGCTGTTCAGTTAAATTTTATCTGGCGTGCATAGACAAATTAACCCGGTTTAATTTATTTACGACAACTACAGACATAATATGCACTATTTTATTCGTACTTTTAGTTGAAGAATAGATTAAATTATTTCAAATGTACGAAATTATTAATCTCCAAAAATTTAAATTACAGTTCTGTCGTAGCTTGTCACAAATTTCTCAATTCGAGGCTATGTTTCCTTCCAAAACATGGCGTTCGCGTGCTGACAAACTTCAAAGGCGGCATCTGAGAGTGGACAGTCCGATTGTTTATTATTCTGTGCTATTAATTTTTACATGTCTAGGGCGAGCGCCCACCAAAGTGGCGTGGCAGTGGCAAGTAGCACGCGTCTAGCATAATGTAACCAATGAAAACGAATGATTCAGTTTACACCAAAATGACAGTAACGTCATTCATTCTAATCATTCGTTATTATTGGTTACATTATGCTAAACGCGTGCTACTTGCTACTTGCCACTGCCACGCCACTTTGGTGGGCGCTCTCCCTTACTGCTTTTGATTGCATATTTCATTTGTAATTTAAATGTCAACACTTAACACCAATATTTCGTTCTGTCTAACCCATTTGAGGCTATCTTCACCGGGACCAAATCTGAAAAATGTCCATGAGCTAAAACATTTGGCAAACTAGTTACACATTAATGAAATAAATTATTCTTTTTGTAATATTTGTCGGCCAAAATTTGAATTCATGAGGGAGGGGGAGGTTAACATTCAAATAACTTCAGCTTTGTCTTTTTGCTCGATGGCTTTGCTACTTACTAGTAGTTGAGATAAATTTTTTTATTTTTCCGTTCCTTTCCGAAAAAAACGCTCCGTCCCTGACCTGACAATTGAAAAATGCGCATAAAAAAAATTCATTTTATTACTAAATTACCTATATATACTACTTTACATAACTTTTAAAAACAAAAAACTTTATAAATATAATTGTTTTCTGTCCCATTTCAAAACTTCAAAACTTAATTCAAGCTTCTCTCAACGCAATGATAATTTATTGGTACTTACAAATGATGTCAACATTAACTTCTGCACTGATATCATTCAGCATACAGGGAATCACCACTGTTACCACTTTTTCAAACACTTTCGAAAACAAAATTATTTTTTAATTCACACACCTTAATTTTCTTCTACCGTTCAAATTCATCGGCATGCAATCTCTTTTTTTTTCAGATGTTTTCTTTGCTTTCAAAATCCCATCAAACATACAACTTCTTCCTTTCCTCCCCTCTCCATTTTTTTTTACAGAGCTAATAGAAAAGTTACTCGAAGTGTTATTAATATGCAAATGGTTATTTAAAGTAGGTTTATGAAAAAACAGCTTGAAACAAATTTCACACTTATATAAGATTTTTTCCAGGGTGTATCAATAAATGTCTTTTCAAATCACTTTGTTGAGAAAACACAAATTTCACACTTATATGGTTTTTCTCTACTGTGTGCTATCAAATTTCTTTTCAAATTAAATTTCTCAGAAAACTGTTTGGAACAAATATCACACATGTATGGTTTTTCGGGGGTGCTTCCAGGGTGTTTCAACAACATATGTCTTTTCAAATGACTTTTACTAAAAAACTGCTTGAAACAAATTTCACACTTGTAAGGTTTTTCTCCAGTGTGCGTTATCAAATTTGCTTTCAAATATCTTTGCGAAGAAAATTGGTTAACACAAATTCCACACTTAAACAGTCTTTCTTCAGTGTGCGTTATCAAATGTGCTTTCAAACTAGCTTGCTGAGAAAATTGTAACAAATTCCACATTCGTAAAGTCCTTGTGAAGTTTGAATTTTTATATTATTATTTAATGTAGTAACTTCATAGTGTTGAATCACATAGTCTTCCTTAAAAGATGAATGTTCTGTGAAAAATTTTATCATTATCAACTTGTTCTCCACCTCAGGTGAACTTAAAATAAGTCATTTATACAAATTTTCCTACGAAGGAAAAGTGATTGCAGAAATTAAAGAATGGATATAAAAGGTACCAAAGCCTTATTACAAAAGAGTACAAAAATTACCAAATACATATAATAAACAATGTAAAGCACAATAAAATGACAGGCATTTTAAAATTCTATTCAATGATATTAATATTGATTACGGGCATGTACTTTTGCATCTCCTTTTTTTTTAAATAAACCATTGACTGTATAAAAAAGTATACAATAAACGTATTAAATTGCAAACATCAAATATGCGTTAACAAAATAATTATAACTGAATATTTAATTGTGCAAAACAAAAACCAACTACAAATAAATGGAATATAGTCATCAAAACCCAATTTATGGACTTAACAGCAAAGGAATTCGGGACCTGGTTCTTACAGACGATATTTAACAGTAACTACGAGAAAATGTCTCACTAGTGTTGCAGATCGGATACGATATGCCTTTCATTACATAGAGAATTTGTGTCTGAAAGAGAAACTATCTGTGAACCGTTTTAAAACTAAAACAGCATTTACTAATAAGAGGAAGCTTTCTCGATTGAGTGAACTGAAATTATTTGGGGAGGAACTGGAAAGCACCAATGAGGACAAGTGTCTAGGGGTAACTCTGGATTCCAAATTCAATTAGAACACTCATAAACAACATAATCAACAACGTGATTCTTCTTGAACTGCAAACGAGTTGTAAAACTGTTTGGAACAAATATTACACATATGGTTTTTCTAGGGCTCCTCAAGAGTGTATTGCCATATGCAGTTCCATATTACTTTGACAAGAAAACTGCTTGAAACAAATTTGACACTTTAGGGTTTTTCTCCAGTGTGTGTCATTAAATGCCTTTTCAAATAACTTTGATGAGTAAACTGCTTAAAACAAATTTTACACTGGTAGCGGTTTTCTGCAGTGTGTGTTATCAAATGAGTTTTCAAATAGTATGCTCGAGTAAACTGCTTAGAACAAATCTCACACTTATAAGGTTTTTCAGTGTGAATACGCAAATGGTTATTTAAAGTAGGTCTATGAGAAAAGCGCTTATAACAAATTTCACACTTAAAAGGCCTCTCTCCAGTGTGTGTTCTCATATGCCTGTTCAATTCACTTGTATGAACAAATAGCTTGAAACAAATTTCACACTTAAAAGATTTTTTTCCAATGTGTATTAATAAATGTCTTTTCAAATACAATTGCCGAGAAAACTGTTTAAAACAAATTTCACACTGGTAGGGTTTTTCTCCAGTGTGTGTTGTCAAATGTGTTTTCAAATTACTTTGACAAGAAAATTTTTTGAAACAAATTTCACAACTATTGGGTTTTTCTCCACTGTGTGTTATCAAATGTTTTTCCAAGTTAACTTGCTCAGAAAACTGTTTGGAACAAATTTCACACGTGTATGGATTTTCGAAGGTTGCTCCAGTGTGTATCAATAACATATGTCTTTTCAAATTGCTTTGATGGAAATACTGCCTGAAACAAATTTCACACTTGTAAGTTTTTTCTTTAGAGTGTATTATCAAATGTTTTTTCAAATAAATTTGCTGAGAAAACTGCTTGAAACAAATGTCACACTTGTAAGGTTTTTCTCCAGTGTGTGTCAATAAATGAATTTTCAGAAGATATCTCCGAACAAACTGTTTAAAACAAATTTCACACTCGAAAGGTTTTTCTCCAGTGTGTATCATTAAATGAATTTTCAGAAGACTTCTCCGAGCAAACTGTTTAAAACAAATTTCACACTCGAAGGGTTTTTCTCCAGTGTGTGTCCTCAAATGTATTTTCAAAGAACTTTTCGAAGTATATTGTTTAACACAAATTTCACACTTGTAGGGATTTTTTTCAGTGTGTGTTATCAAATGTTTTTTCAAATATCTTTTTGAAGAAAACTGTTTAACACAAATTCCACACTTAAATGGTTTTTCTTCAGAGTGTGTTATCAAATGATTTTTCAAACGAGCTTGCTGAGAAAAATGTTTGGAACAAATTTCACATTTGTAAAGTCCTTGTGAAGTTTGAATTTTTGTATTAGTATTTAATGTACTATCTTCATGGTGTTGAATCCGATATTTTTCCTCAAGAGATGAATGTTCTGTTAATGTTTTTTTCAGTGTCATCTTGTTCTCCTCCTTGGGACAACCTAAAATAAAAGTCATTTATTCAAATTTGACTACAAAGTCAGTGATTGTAGAAACTAAAAAATATATATAAAAAGTACCAAAGCCTTATTATAAAAGAGTACAATAAATACCAAGGGTTCAAAGGAGTACTGAGGTGCAATACAAGGTATTGCTTCCAGATAACAACTCTAACCTCTCCTACTCAATTCCTATCCTCACCTCCAAGAAGTGTGATCTTGATCACACGGGTGAACCCCGGTAAACCTGAGCAACCCTATTGGAGATTGGGTAACTAACCCCAATGGAAGGTAGGGTAAGAGCGGACGAGGAAGCGAGAAAGCATAGCTTGTTCAAAAGCTATAGCCAGCAGTCCTGGCACTGGACTCGGGTGCAATAGGGCGATAACCTGTTCACCTTAAACTCGGCTATTACGAATGCTACGAAAAATGAACTAACCGGACGGACCAACGGACAATGACCAAAGCTACGAAATAAGGATTTAATGATGGATTTGCGACTGGGAACCTGGAATGTCCAAACCATGCTGCAGGCAGGCAAAATGCAAAGTATTGCACAGGAACTATTGAAGTATGAAGTAGACATAGCAGCCCTCCAAGAAATCAGATTTAAAGGGCATGGTTGCATAAATAAAAAAGAATATATAGTATGTACTACTGTGAAGCTGAAAGACAGAAAATTTATATGCCTAACAGGGCATATCCATGCCCCAACAGAAGCAGCAGATGAACTAGTAACCGTTCAATTCTATGACCAACTACAAGTAGAATGTGATAACGCACAGAAGAGAGATGCAGTTATAGTCCTGGGTGATATGAACGCGAAGCTGGGAAAAGAGCCAATATATGCAGAATCCTTTGGTAAGCATAGTTTACATGATATTACCAGCAACAACGGCATAAGAGTGGCACAGTTGGCAATGGCAAACAAACAATTGTTTCCCTCATAAAAATGTTCATAAAGGAACATGGATGATACCTGGTACTAATAAATTTAATCAATATCTAAGGTGAGCAACCTCCGTAACAGATGTTAGAACTTATAGAGGCACAAATTGCGATTCGGACCATTTCTTGGTTATATCGAAGATAAAACAAAGAATATCAATGGTAAGAAAAGAGAAAGGCGCCAAACAAAGAAAATGGAACACATATATGTTTAAAAATTATAAAAAGAAGAATGTAAAGAAGAAAATAAAAGTAATATTAAATGAAAGAGAACAAAACAACATTGAAGAAGAATGGAATGTCATCCAAACGACAATAAATAGCAAAAATATAGCTAGACAGAAATGTCTACAACCGGATTCCCGATTGAATAGAAGGGCATATGAAGAACTCAGACAAGATGCAAAGAAAATATATAGAAGGAAGAAGAGAGAAATGCTGAATGGAAAAATAAAACAAATTACAGATTATAATAACTGGAGACTAGAAAATTTTACAAGGAAACCAAGCAATACACCCAAGGACACATGATAAGATCAACAGTTTGTAAGAACAAAAATGGGGCATTTATTAGCGAGAAAGAGGAAATAATGAAAGGTGGGAGGAGCATTTTCAAGAGCTGTTAAACCCAGAAAAAGAAAAAAAAAAGATGAAAAAATAAGTCACCACACAGCAGAACAACTAGTTGAGCAACCAACATTGGAAGAAACGATAAACGTCATAAAACATCTAAATGGAATAACTGCAGAACTTGCATATGGACACTTGAAGTCATCCTAGAAGATTGGAAAGTAGGAATCATACTTGCTATGTACAAAAGGGGAGACAAACGACTCTGCAAAAATCGTAGGGGCATAACAGTTTTAAATGTCGTCTACAAGATATTATCAGGAATTACATACAGCCGCCTTTAATCGTTTTTGGAGGAGATGATTGGTGAATACCAATGTGGCTTCAGACCAAAGAGGTCAACTATAGACCAAATACATATGTTAAGAGGTATACATGAAAAATGTGCTGAATATAACATACCTATTTACAACTTGTATATCGATTTCAAACAAGCTTTTGATGGAGTAGATCGACAAAAGAGGTTAAAGCAACTATCTATGTTAGGGATACCCAATAAGTTGGTTAAACTTATATGAATGACTCTGGAGAGTTCCAAAGCTATGGTGAGAATAGATGGAGATATGACGCAGGCCTTTGTTATTGGAAATGGAGTTAGACCACGTGATGTCTTATCAACAAGACTTTTTAATCTAACTTTAGAAGCTGTTGTTGAAAAACTGGATATAAACGGCTGTATTAATATAAGATCAGTGCAAATATGCACATATGCGGATGATGTTGCCATAATAAGCCGCAACAAAAGGGTATTAAGTGAAAAAGTTATAGAAATGAAAAGAGAAGCTGTTACGTTTGGTCTATATATCAATGAAAGCAAAACAAAATATATGGAGTGCACAAAAACGAATCAACATGTAACTCTGAAGGTAGACAACCATACCTACAAATATGCCTCCAATTTTCCCTACCTAGGCTCAATAATAAATGACAACAACATCAGTCAAGAAATACAAGCAAGGATTCTTAGTATTCAAAACATTGTTAGTTGTATTTTCACATACAAATTTGGTAGTATTTTTAGATTATAATACTGGCGTCCTTTTATTCAAATACCATCTGAATTATTTTGTATAAATTGTTTTTTAAGAAAAGGTCTATTTCACCAGTTATTGGCACTTGAATCTAGTAATTAGAATACCAAGAATTCCAGTTATTGGCACCTAAATTCAGATAGGCACGTCCTTACGGTTTAGTGGGTAGGTAGCCTAGGTAGGTAGGTATATTGTTTAAAAAATAATAAATCTTAATATAACTTTTTATTAAATATAAAAGAGAGAAATAAAACTGAGCCAAACAATGAGAGACATAATGAGAAACATAAATATAAAATGTAAAAACATAAGATGACAACTTAAGATGCCAAGCCACGTGTGGTACACACTTTACAAACATAAAGTCTTTATATGTCTTAGCTTTTTTTAGGCAACCACAATGGTAACTTCTGGTACATTTTTGACACTGTATTCCAAAAATTGATTAATGAAAATTTTTTTGTATAACTAAAGCATATTCCTTTATTTAAAATTTTATTATTTGTTGGCAATGAACTGAATGAAGTTTGTGTTGGTATTAAATGGTTATTATTTTCTGCCTCCTTTAAAATATTTCTGATATGTTTGGGTTTATTCGCAATTTTTTTAAAATTTATCTTGTTCTTTTCTTAACTTATCATAAAAGAAATAAAGTCCAGAAGACTCCAATGGGCAGGACACCTCAGAAGACATTCTGATGAACGAACAGTAAGACTGGTGTGGGAGGAAGTCCCAACTGGAAGGAGACCACGCGGACGCCCTCGTCTCCGGTGGCGAGATAATTTAGCAGTAGACCTACGCACTATGGACGTGGAGAATTGGATGGAGGTTGCTCAAGACAGAAAACAGTGGAGGCATGTTGTCGAGTCGGCTAAAACCCACGAAGGGTTGTAACGCCACGGAGTAAGTAAGTAAGTAAGTAAGTTTTCTTAACTTATTTTCTTCTTTGTTTAATTTATTTTCTTCTTTCTTTATTTTATTTTCTTGTTTTTTCAATTCCTTTTCTGTCTTATCCCTCTGCTTTTCTTCAAATTTTTTTCCAACCACTTGATGTGATTACAAAAGAAAGTCTTTCAATCTGAAGCTTACCTTTTCTTTCAGGAGTTTTTGGTTGATCCCCGTGGGAGTTTTGGTTGATTGTGATTGATTGTTGATTGAGTTTTGTGGTTGATAATTATTATTCTTATTAGAATGCTCTACTAAAAAATCAATCTCATTTGTATCGGTAATATCGTCAAAATTACTACAATCAAGTAGTAATTTTCGATTTGCTTCGTAAATTGGGGTTAAAAATGATATTATTTCTGGTAAAATTATTCAAAGAAAACCAGAAATTTCAAGTGCAATATGCATTGATATGAAGGCTTCTAGTTATTCTAGGTTTGAGAAATTTTGAAAGCAACAAAATAGCTGCTTCAAATTTATATATGGCGAAACAGCTGAGGAAAATTACTTAGTGGTTTCTGATTGAAGGGAAAAACTGCTCAATTTATTGAAGCAATACCCATCGCTAGATATTTTAACGGGATTATTTTTATTTCGACGAAAGCATTATCTAACATAACTTATACCCTAAGAGGAAGAAATGATTACTGCAAGTAAGACTTCCAAAGATGAACTCACAATAATTTTGTTTTGCACCAACACTATAAAAATTAAAAACAAAGAAGAGTCACCGGTGATCAAAAAAGAAAATCTTTTCTCCAAGTACAAACACTAATTCATAAAATTATTTAAATTTAGTTTCTGTATTATCTTTATTTTGCAATATCAAATTTAATAAATTAATATATTTTCTAAATTTAAATTAACCTCATTCTATTTTTTGATATTAGACTTTTTATTTTGGATAATTATTATATTATTAGAAAACATAATGCTGATTATGACGGTCAACAACCGAAATCTGTATCTATCTATTACAATTATTTATTTATAAAAACCATATCTATTACAGAATTCTTTTCTTAGATACAGAATTTCTATATACAGAATATGCTTTTCAGTTGTTGAACTACCAAACTATTGACATTTGTTAAAATAAATGCAAATAATAATTCACATTGTAAAAGATCGAAATATAGTACTTCAAGTAGTAAAATTAATGCAAATAATTCAAAATATAAAAGATTAAAATATCATAGTACTGATCAATTATATAATATATTATAGTGTAGTTCTGTCAGGTGAAGACACAGGTATGTTTATTTTTAATGTCACATGTTTTGAAATGTTTATTTCTAATATCAACCTTTTAGAATATTATCAACAGAATTATCTTGCAGCATTAGATTTTCTAGTACAAATTGCTGTATTTTGTTTTTTTTTTAGATATTGAAGAAGAAAATGATTATTCTTAATTGGTTGAAGTGTTACATGGAAATGCAGATAGGAATGAAAATATACAGGAGGAACCAAATTTAAGTGAGGATTGGAGGAAAGACAATCCTATTGGAATGCAAAATTTTAATTTTACCAAATCTTCTGGGTTGTAGATATTCCAGGGAGGGGTCTTCCATATGATTTTTTTTGCCTCCTTGTAAAAGACATTTTTTTTTTGAGATGATAGGACAGGACACAAATGTTCTGTGTTTGTTAAGGAACTAACATTTTTGGGACTTACAATGCATATGGGAACATGGAAAACCAATAGAATCTAGGACTACTGGAATACCGATCCTCTTTTTCAATTGAAATGTTTCCATAATAATATGAGCCGAGATTGTTACTTGCTTATTTTGAGATGTCTATAGTTTGCCAGAATCATCATCACAGTCATTAACATCTTAGTAGATGTGTTGTGGTTCATAATTGGGCTTCAGCAGCTCGGACAGTTTGATTGATAATATTTCTCCACTGGTCGCGGTCATCAGTTATATGTATTGCCTCAGTATACTGTTTATTGAGAAGCTTTTTAGTAATGTCCGCCCATCGCTGTGGAGATCTTCCGCGTTGGCGTTGAGTCTGAGGCCTTCCTTGGACCACCAACCGCTCCATTTTGTGATCACTTCGATGGATATGGCCAAAGAACTTTAAAATTCTAGAGTAAACGGTACTGGAGAGACGTTGATCCGGTTTAATTTCATCCAGAACCGAGATATTTGTACAGCGAGCCATCCATGGAATTCGAAGCAGGCGTCTCCATGTCCACATTTCAAAGGCGTCTATACGTCGTCGATCTGATTCTTTGACTGTCCATGTCTCGCATGCATAGTAAAATATGGAAAAGACCAGAGTTGAAACGAGTCTCTTTTTTTTTCAATATTATAATTTTCAATTTCAATAATATAATGGCTGAAATATATCATCTAGGAAAAAATCTATCCCTTGATGAAAGTATCGTATTGTGGAGTGGTAGATTATATTTTTGAATATATATGAGAAGCAAACGTCACAAATACGGACTTAAATTGTATGTGTTTGCAGAACACAACGGCTTAGTGGTTTGTATGAAATTATATACAAGACGTTATGACTCTGTGGTGGAAAAGGCCACTCTGAAAATGTAAGTTTAGAACTAATGCGAAATAAACTTAACATTGGGCATTCTCTTTTTATACCTAATTTTTATGGAAGTGTTGATTTAGCAAAAACGATTTTACAAAACAGTACCTTCTGCACATTAACTTTAATTTCCAAGAGAAAAGGTAACCCTAAAAAAGTTTTAGAACCTAAACTAGCACAAGGACAGATAGTAGGGCAATACAAAGATGGCATTTTAGTTGGAAAGTAGAGAGATAAAAGAGAAGTTATGTACATATCAACGGAATTTAAAAATGATCTTATCGAAACTGACAACAGAAGAAACCAAATAGAAATAAAATCATTACCTACATCCAAATATTATGAGTTTATAAGTGGTGTTGATTGCAAAGATCAAATGCTTGCTTACTATCCATGTGAGCAAAAGACTCTCAGATGGTATAAAAAATAGATATTCACATATTTCAATTACATTCCTGGTATTATTAAGGAGAGTCTAATATACCAACTTGATTATTTTTTGTTTCTAACGCAGAAAGGAATAAATTTCACTCAGATGTTGTATATTTGATTTTGTATTAATCACATTATCCCTGGTTGCAATGTGTGTCATTTCTAACAAAAGGCTTCTATTATAGGATGTTTTTTTTGAGGATTTTGACATCTTCTGGGTGTAAATGTGATTAGCTAAAGAACACCTATAATGATAAAGCCTAAGGTCACTTTTTGAGTAGTGATGCCGTCTTTTAGACGTCTGGAAGTTTGACCAATATAATTACTGTTACAACCATTACAAGGAATGCTGTAAACTACATCTGATATCTGTTCTTTAGGGGTTCAATGTTTAGGTTTTAATAGGCAAATATTTTTTATTAAACCAACTGATTACAGTAGAAATCATACTATTAAGTAGTTACTTATTGTTTTACTATTCTCACCTAGAAGTTCTTCCTCTTGTTCATTTTTCAAGTTTTCCAGATTTATTGATGTGGATAACTGAGTCTCCATATAGTTTTGGTCATAATCATCAAACTCTTTCTTAATTTCATCTTTAACTTCCATAGCTAACAACTTAAATAACGATAACCATGATACTTTAGTTCATAGTATCATCAAGTATCATGCATATATCATATATAAATATAATGATTAAAATGTGTAAAATAAAATAGGTTAACTTGAATTTGGGTGCAATGAACATAACCTATAGATATGTTTGACGTTAAATGTAACTGTAAGCGTAAGCTTAATATACGTCAGTGTTGCCATATATAGTAGCCTCGTATTTCCGTGAGACTGTGCAAAAATATATGTACACTTCATCTAATTTATATAACGATGTACGTCATCGGCGTCATAGCCTGTGAAGTCACATGATACCAACACGAAATATTTAGACGGTAGGTGTGTTCTTTTTTAGAATCACTTTACCGAGTACACTGGCATTACAGTCACTAGACATATTTTATTATATACGCGTAGAAATAATATTTAAAAATTTCTATTAATGTTAACTTAAAGAAATACACAAATAATATGTTTCATTTAATTTGTATAAATGCATTATAAAGCATTTTTCTCAAGAAAATTTGTTCGGAACACACTGTAACTGTAATCGAACGAAGGTAAAATTTTGGCATACATTGGTAACACTTACTTGACAGTTGCGGTGTTGACACTTTTTGTACTTTATTATTTTGAATTTTAAAGTGAATGTCTCTTGTTTTATATTTTTAACTATTTAATAAAATCTGTTCTTTTTAGAACAAAATTAGTGTGTTTTATTTTAAAAATATCATTTAAGAATTTAAATAGTCAGTGTAAAGAGATGGCAATGCTGTTGCAATCATTATGTGACCTATTTGATTTAAAATGGATTCAGGATATTTTTATACTTTGGCAACTATGTCAACTTCGATCTCTGACGTAGATCATGACGTAAGTCGTTATCTAAATTAGATGAAGTATATCTGTAATAAAATCATTCAACAAAAAGGTACTCTACCAGGAGTCTGTAAAATTATCAATGACTCAGACGTATAATAATACAAAGTTTCCAGATTCCACTCGATATTAACATTCAGACGTGCCTGGTATAATCTTTTAAAATATGAACCAGATATGAACAATCAACCAATTAAGTTTTCATCGAACTTATGACAAGTCCACGTGGACTAACGGCCAATGAAAACATCGGATATCGCTGTTATGACAAATCATAATGCATTATCTTTTGTCGGTAGACTTATTCATACTTGGGGCACAGTTTAACCACAGTTAACAAAGTTTCTTTTTTATACTATGCTTGGGGTAAGATTATATCAGTATTTGACTGAGCTTACGGAGTCATAAAATAAGGGATCAGGTTTCGACCGTCCAGTGCCGAAGGCACGGAACGGGGAAAACTTAGGTAGGCAAATTTTTGTATTTTATTTTTAAATTGCGGATATGACCAACAGATTTTTGAGAGACAAGAATATTTTTAGTAAAATCATAACTGCTACAGCGTTCAGTTAAATTCAAATTTCAAATAGTGAACCACAAGTTAGTTTGGTAGTGACTTTTTTCAGTGTTCTTTATACGGAAAACATTTTATATTTTACGTTTTTTACTTTTTTTGATACGTTTTTACGTGATTATGTTTTTATACGTTTGATAATTTTAAAATATTGCGTCTGTGGTGCGATAATAATTATGTAGCTGAAGAGACAATGGAACCCTTTAATCGATTGGAAGATTTACAAAGGCGTGTAGTAAAACGTAAGCGACATTTTCAAAAGCTTTCAAAACCAAAAGCCAAATGTATGCTAAAAAATATTTATGAAGGACTGTGTGCTGAATTGTCTAATTCAGAGGCAATTGCAGAAACATGTTTTTTAACCAGAGTGCCCAAAGCAACCCACTACAAAATTATAGGAGAAACATCTTCTTCTAGACAGAAGAGAAAGGATTGTGGCAAATTCAGAAAAATAGAACCGCACTTAATTGAATCTATAACTAGAACAATATACCAAATGTATGCGGCCAATATTTTTCCAACTATTGAAAGCCTTCGAAGTGAATTAATTCGAAAGATTTTAAGTACAAAACTATAGACAAGAGACAGACATTAATGGAAAGTACTAGAATAATTTCTTTAAGAAACAATTATATCAGACAGATAACTGAGTATCGAAAAATGAAACGAAATATTGTTTATTTAGATGAGACCTGGTATGATACTCATGACACCGTGAAAAAAAAGTTTGACAAATAATAACAAAAAGTGTTTCAACTCAGTACCGCCCAATAAAAGAAAGAGAATTATAATTTTACACTGCGGTGGAGAAAATGGATGGGTCGACGATGCATTATTAATATCTGCAAAACAAATTAAAAACGCGTCTCTGGATTATCATGACGATATGGAAAGTTCAATTTTTGAATCATGGTTTGAAAAATGTCTTCTTCCGAAATTACTTAAAGATAGTGTGATTATCATGGACAACGCATCATATCATTCAAGATTAATGAAAAAAACTTCAAATAATAGTTGGAATAAATTAAAAATTCAGGATTTTTTATTCACGGAAGATTTGTATTTTGAGACATCTTATATTAAAAAGCAATTGTTGGAGGCTGTTCATAGTAAACAGTACGAAAAGGAATATGTTGTTGACAACTGTGCTCGTAGTAACGGACATACTGTGTTTAGACTTCCTCATTATTGTACATTGAACCCAATAGAGTTAATATGGGCTCAAATTAAAGGAAATATAATGAGAAGAAACATTGCTCCAACATTTTTTGTCTACTGTTCTCCAGTTAATTAAAAGAGAAGTCACAAAAATTACAGCAACCAACTGGAAAAATGTAATAAAAATAAAACATGTGATCGGAGTGGAAAATAACTATGTTAAATATTTACCAGTGTTAACCAAATTACATTAAGAAAGTGTCAAAGCAAAATCGACTGACCTGCTCATGATGGCGATTGTTTGAAATTTTATCAGGACGCTTTTGTGAATAGTACAATGAACATATTCATTGTACCATTGATGTTGATCACTGGTTGATCATGTATATATAACCTCACTTTCGCAGATTATGTTAATAAATCTTTATTAACGAGAAAAAATATTTTTGTTGAACTATAAATGTCACTATAAATTAATAACTAATTAATTCTAAAAATTGTATCCGGATGTTAACACCACAAAATAAAATATTTAAGTTTAACAAAATAATCCCATAAGACTCATTACTAAAACGTCCTCACAAATCTGACAGCGTGTCACGTGACAGTAAATAGAGGGGAGACCCACGGAGCGAATAAATTTAGATGATACGAGTGATACTAGTGATAACAGCGATTCTGAGTAGATAGTAAGTACTTATTAGGTGTTAGTTGAAACCTTTATTTCTATTTTAATTGTAGATATTCTCATGTTGCTTATATATCTTTGAAAACAGTGAGTATAAACACACTTCTTGATAGGACAAAAATTATTAATGTTTTAGGGGAGGATGTCAACTGAAACTGTCACTGTCATTCTCGCTGAATAACTACTACTATTAACAATGTTTTATATAGATATTATTATTTTACAATAAGTTCTGTTCAGTCGAGTCGATTAGTGTTATCACTCCCAAGATATATCACAGAAGTTAAAAACACCGATATTTTTTATTTAAACTTTATAGAAAATGATACTTTTTGGTAAATAAAATTAAATAAAAGTAAAAACTTTTATTTAATTTTAAATTAGATATCTACGCTACTGTTCTACTACTAAGTCATCGAGCAATAAGACAAAAGAGGGAATCTAATCGTTATAAAAAGGAGACCAAAAAAGTGGCCTCTGATGGCGGACACATCCGGAAATGCAAAGGCGCCAAATTTAAATTTTTCGACACTTATCAACAGTAGCTATTCGCTCCGTGCGTGACTGATGCGACACCTACCGCCTTCATCTGACAATTTGGGAATCCCAATTTTCAGGTTAAACTTATGACATATGTTTGACATTGTTAAATACATGCGAAATTGACAATTATTAATAAATTAGTTTTTTAGCTATATTTTAAAGTTTATGTACAAAATAAATGTAGTATTAAAAACTGGGTTTCTCAAAATTCATCATAATATACCTTTTCAACTCCAAACGGAAAAGAAAGGGAAAAATCTAGTACTGGCAAATCAAGTTTTTCACGCAAAAGAGCATATAATTAAAAACAATACTAGTAAAAGTTAGGATATAAAAGCTAAAGTCATCTGCAGTTAGCTTGTAGCCTTATGAAATATCATTCAAGGTAAATTATTTAAATTTTTTCTATTTCAATTGCATAAAAATGAAACTATGTGATATTTACTTTTTCATATTAATAGCACGAATTCATCTTTTTCTTTTTTCTAATTTATATGTAATTTTTGGGAACCTATGAAAACTACAATCACCATTTTTGCTATTATTAGCACAATTAAATACGCAACGTGTATTTGCACGCATTTTTGATAAAATTTATGCGTAAAAATATTTTGTCCAATATTCCCATTTTGTCATATTTCGCCGCTACGCACGCTGGCATCGTTTCAATGTATCCCTACCATGGTCACGCACGGAGCGAATATAATATTTTTCAAAATGTGTCTTAGACGAGAAAGTTTTAATTAATTATTAATGATAAGTGTCTAAAATGCGACACAATTGTTAAAAAACTTCAATATAAATAAGATTTCATGTGACATTTGGGACAAACAATAACATAACCCAACTAAATTTGATGTCAAACAAGGAGAGAGACTCTCTATCCTTGTCTAAAGTGGCCTCTCAAAATGGCACTTCCTGTCTATCAATATGTTTACCCCTTCTACCTTTACATTCCCTCTTTTGTCTTATTGCTCGATGTACTAAGTACTAAAATAAAGGAGTGGTAACTCCAACTCTAACAGCGTTGCCATTTTACTAGTATTTTGCTTGTTTTGGTCTCTGTAAATTTTCTCACGAAATTACGTGCCGACTATACTCAATTATTTCACACTCTCACATATAAAATTATGGGCAAGATTTATATTATATGAAAATTTAAAAATACATATATAATTAAACAAAAACATTTAAAATACTTATATAATAAAAACCATTAAAAAATTATGCTCAAGGTAAAAATTAATAGTTTAGAAACTTTAAAAACTACA